ATAGCGGGTATCCAGCTTGCGGAATAGAGAAAAGCTACAAGTGAACAAATCTTCACAATTTTAACTTCTCTATTTCTGCCGAGATTCGATGGTTGTTGTTGTGTTTGACGGAGAATATTYACGCGTCTTTTTTGTCTCCGAAGTTCGACGTAAATCCTTATATACAAAGCAAYCATGAACACAAATGGCACAACAACAAACAACAATGCAAAAGWAACATACATTTTTTTAAAAGCAGACTTATTAATATCAGTAAAACGAAGAAAAACCATGAGACTCCCGATGACTGACACAGYCCAAACGGATGTCACAATCCACACAAAATACTTCTTAACTCGTGTTTTGTAGTGAAGAGGYTTTACAACAGCGAGGTAGCGCTCAAACGACACRGCACACARGTTCCCAATCTCCGAAGCTGTTGTCACACAGATTAAATATTTAATTAATGCTCGCTCAAACTTTGTCTTGGTTTGCTGTTCTTGAGATTTAAAACCCATATACGCAAACGATGTTGTGAACGTTAGGATGTCAGATACTGCGAGAGAGATTAAAAAGCCATTGACGTAAGTACGAAGCTGTCTTGAGTTCATCACCAGTAAGCAGAGGAAGACATTCGCAATGATTCCTAAAACTGACARCAKARAAATACATTTTTCCAGTACATCGGATAAGTATATTCTTGTCATCGTTTTTGAGATTCTTTCTGCAGGTGCCGAATGTGTTAGAATTTCTACTTTGATGATACTGCCTGCGCAAACCCGTTATAATTTCGTGAAACAATTGAAATCGTTGATCAAGTCTTCTTTGCAAGTTAAATGATTTATTTGAKAGTTTATAGTCTTCAGCGTTCTAGTACAACTGATCCAGAAGTGGTCATTTCAGAACTATGCCAAAAGTGGGTCACCAAAATAACTGCATATTTCATCCATGCCGTGGCAGTACACTCACTTTCTCCTTGAAATGCTTTCAAACATTTGGGGATTCACCTTCCCACGTACTACACAAAATTTACGGTAAAAATAATTTCCMAGCGTATTATAAGTGACTTTGAGTTGCAGTGATTTCGAAATAGAACTGTCTCACGGCTGACTCGGTTTAAATCTGGACAGGATAACTATTAATTTGAACACTATCAGTACTATGACAACGCATTGCTTAGTGCAAGCTTGACGATCCGATATCAAATGAATCAAAATGGAAATAGAATATAGCGCTTGAATAGMACRCTAAGTTTCTCAATGAGATMTTAATAACACTAGAAACCCTCTTGCTTGTTTGTAGTATTTGCGTTACATTTGACACGTTTGAAGAGCGAATACAGAACACCTGTGTTTTCAGTATGAGCAAATTCAAAGGAAGTGTGACAATGATTAATAATCTGTGCTTTTTCTTTTTACTTTCKTCCTTTTTTTATCCATTTTGCAACACGAAACCTTTGTTTCCTTCACGTCACATGTTTAAAAGTTTACGAATGTAAACGGTACGAACCACARGGAGCCCAATTCATATAAAAGTGAAAGACGAAAATAAAATCCAGAAACAAATACCATGTATTTATATCAAAGTTTAAAAAATTGAGGCCCCTACGAGCGTTTGCTAAATATAGCATAAACTAATATTGACCTCGAGTCTACGTAAACGCTGAGGAATCGATAATAAATTGTGTTGAGAATGACTACACGAGGTCGTCGAAACGTCCAAAACATTTGTCTCTAACTTATCCTTTCAAATGTTTTCCCAAAAGAATGGTTTTATGACCAAGAAAATCAAACAAAATACCAGCGGTAAGATTTGCGCGTCTTTTCCCGTATTCAATGGTCGTCCTGTTTAGAAAAAGTATATTTTCATCCACTATCGACTTCAAAAACTGTGTACGTCATGCTTACTGCGCATGCTTGACGAAGAACAGACTAGCATTTCGTCGAGCATGCGCAGTAAG